GCCGCAGCTGCCATCGAATGCAGCCGCTCACCTGTGAGCTCACGAACGTCTCTCTCGGCTGTGTCGATGTCCAAGCCGAATCACGTCGGGGTCACCATTTGTGGGGTCCCAAGCGGGGAGGATAAAGCACACGACCAATGTGGTTGCAAGCTGAACTCAAACTCTGTTTATTACAAGCTTTCTTTTATAGTCTTTCTCAACATTACATAACACAATTAGGCTATAATCACAAATCTACCAATTGGACAAGAAGGAGAATCATGTGTTTATCACATGTACAGCCCCACACCGATTGGTTCAGATGTTCCTTACATAAGGCCTCATCTTATACAACCACCAGGGGGCCTTACATAAGGCCTCATCTTATATAACCACTAGACCACAAGGGGGCGCCTTTGTTTTACAAGGCCATGAGCCATTGCCAGGCAAGTGTCCCATCGTGACCCTTACCTTCTCATGGAACTTTCCATTATGTTGGCGTAAGGATGATACATCCCCACAGAGGAGAGCCCTGTTAGAAGACTGGACCTTGAGGATACACAGTCAGATGGCTGAACAAGCTAGAGGTAAGCAAGGTTGGAATGATCTCTCCCCTGACAGCTAGTGATGAGCTGGGAAAGGGGAAAGGCTTCAGGACCAGACTGTATTTACAAGAACACACCCACGCTGCCTAGGTATCCAGCAGACAGAGCTATGTTGGCTGGTTCTCGGTTACAATTCACTGTAGTACCTGAATGCAGGGGTAGTGAAATGTTGTTGTCCTGATTGTCTGAGTAAAGGGCAGCAGAACTGTGCTTAGCCTGCCCGGACTGAGGGGGTCACCCATAACTGAACTGAAGTCACTAACCAGGGGGCTCAGACACCAGACACCTATAAAGAGTGAGAGGGGGTGGAAATGGGTGTTCCTTCTGAGGGGTGTGGGCTCTGTGTAAGAGGTCTATACATGGTTTAATCTGTCCCTCACCACTCTTCAAAGATCGATTTAATGAACGCTCCATTGGCAGGTTTTTTCTGGTTTAAGTCAGTGGTCCCCAACCTTTCAGTGTGGCGGGCACCAGACGAAATGGGGCCGAGGAGCGCGAGCGCCGGACAAGCAGCCGCCGAAATGCCACAGAGAAGTGGCAACGACAAGGAGCACCACTGCTGAAATGCCGCCAAGAAGCATCATCAAGAGACATCACTGCCGAAATGCCACCGAGAAGCAGTGAAATCAAGAGGTGTCGCCTCCGAAATGCGGCCGAAAAGCAGCGGCATTTCGGCGGTGAGGCTTCTTGACATTCCTGCTTCTCAGCGGCATTTCGGAGGCTGCTTCTCTAACCAAGGACAATCACTGTGAGTGGGGTGCAGTGGAGGGAGCAGGAAGGGGCACCAGACACGAACTTTTAGCGGCTGGACTGAAGAATCTGAAGCAAAAGAGACCTCCTCTGGGAAGAGACAATGGTCTGTACCTACAAAGAAAGAGGAGAGGGGACAAGAGCTCCCTTTCACCCAGGAGGCAGCTAATAGTGTTTGTCTCAGGAACAGGAGATCACAGCCAAGCCTGGAGTAAAGACCTGGAAGGACTGTGGCGTGAGCGTTGCTCTACCAGACAGAAAAGTATCTCATTCAATGAGTCTATGCTTTAGTCAGCGTGATATGATTTTATTGGCCATGGAACCATTTCTTTCCAACCCTTCTCCTTGCTACCCCTCCAATCTTTACACTCAGTGAGATCACTTGTCGTTGGTGTGACTATGAAGGGATCTAGAGCTGTGTGCTGATTGGGGCAGAGATGGGAGGTGGAGCTGGTCACCTTGGGACCCTGTTCCTTTGGGAGCAGCAAATCTGTGACTGCTGTGAATGCCCATCAAGACAGGGAGTGGGTGGTACAGGGGGATGCTCGGAGGGCCGAGGGGTGAAGTATGCCTATTGCCAACCTGGAAAGAGGTCACCCCCCTCTCCAAGGCCTAGAGAGCACAGATTGTGTGGCCTCTGGCCGAGGGAGTCGGGGAGCTGCCCCCCAGCGGGCACAGACAAGGCTTCCACATGCTAGGGGCACATGGCACTGCACTGGGGCATTAGGGCCAGCACAACTACAAAGAGTGCACCCTACTGACACCCCTCTACCTGCAGCACAGGCCCCCTAGCACATCACTAGGGCACTGGGGCCAGCACTGACATCAAGAGGACAGCGTGAGCATCCCCTACTGAGCCCTCACACCGCTCCCTGCAGCACAGGCCCATAGAACCGCACAGGGGAATTGGGGTCAGCACAGACTGAGAGGAGAGTCTCCCTAGTGGAACCATCATATTGCGCCCTAAAGCACAGACCCCAAGCACCATGCTTGGGTCAGAACTGGCTGTGAGGGGACAATGCCCTGTAATGAGCTTCTCACCCTGCTCCCTGCAACAGGCAGGGTGGTAGATGAAGGTTACCTGAGCACACCACACCGGCATCTTCTCCTTGGGTACAGTTATTCTCTCCCCAAGGCCAAGCCCTGCAATCAGAGAGGGCAACTTCTGTCCCTGTGCAGTTGACGTCAGCCAGCCAGATACGGTCAGATCCTCGCCCAAATCGAGCCCCTCCTGGGGCTGATAACGCCGTCCCACAGCCCAGCTGTCTGCACACGACTCCGGCATCCTGTAAGTCCCAGCTGTCATCACACAAGGTTCCCCACTTCTGGTTGTGAAGCACCTCGACCCTCCCAGCGCAACGACTCGGGCCGTTCACCAGTCGGAGCTGAGCCACTTCTGAGATGCCAGCGTCTGCAAACAGCCAAGGGAATAAACATTCAGGGAGGTTCCTCTGCATCCGATCACTAGTGATGCTGTTGAAAAAAAGATTACCTACCTCTCGTAACTGTTGTTCTTCAAGATGTATTGCTCATGTCCATTCCAATAGGTGTGCACACACTGCGTACATGATCGTTGGAAGTTTTTTTCCCCTAGCGGTACCTGTCAGGTGGACTGTGGAGACCCCTGGAGTGGTGCCTTCATGACAGTGTATATCGCTCACTGCCGACCGACCATCTGCTCAGTTCCTTCTTGCCGGAATATTCCGACAGAGGGGAGTCAAGTAGTATTTGGAATGTACATGAGCAACACATCTCAAAGAACAATAGTTACGAGAGATAGGTAACCATTTTTCTTCAAGTGTTTGATCATGTGCATTCCAATAGGTGACTCTCAAGTAGTTTCCCTGGGGGAGGGGTCAGAGTTCACCTGATTGAGGAATGCAGGACTGCCCTGCCAAAGGCTGCATCGTCCCTTGCCTATTGGGTAATGGTGTAGTGTGACATGAAGGTGTGGATAGAGGACCACGTTGCTGTCTTGTATATTTCCTGGATAGGGACCTGCGCCAGGAATGCTGCGGATGATGCCTGCACTCTCGTGGAGTGCACCATAAGCGAAGGGGCTGGAATTTTAGCCAGGTCATGACAAGTCCTGATACAGGATGTGATCCATGATTAAATGGGCCGGGACGAGAACGGAAGCCCCTTCATCCTTTCTGCGATTGCAATAAAGAGCTGTGGTGACTTACGAAATGGGGTTGGGCGGCCAATATAGAATGCTAGGGCAGGCCTGACATCCAAGGAATGGAACATGTTTTCTCTGTTACTGGCATGTGGCTTAGGGAAAAACACAGGTAAAAATATGTCCTTGTTCATATGAAACTGGGAGACTACCTTTGGCAGAAACGCAGTGTGAGGGCGTAGCTGCAGCTTGTCTTTATTTACCATATAGGAGGGCTCGGAAGTCAGCGCTATGAGCTGGAATACCCTTCTGGGTGAGGTTATGGCCATCAGAAAGGCCACCTTCCGGGAAAGGCAGGAGAGAGGGCAGGTCACCATGGGCTCGAAAGAGGGCCCCATGAGCATGGACAGGACCAGGTTGAGGTCTATGTGGGGAAAGCCTCCGTCTCTGGAAAATCGAGTGTGTGATGTCTGGCCTGAAGGACCATTCCTGACCATGAAACAAGCAGCTGAGGTGATCAGCTAGCTCGTTTTGTGCTCCCGGAAGGTGCGACGCCTCTAGGTGTATCGAGTGAGCCATGCAAAAGTCTCACAGCTCGAGGGCTTCCTAGCTCAGGGAGAGGAACAAACATTACCTTGTTTGTTTATATAGAACATCGCTGCATCACAGACACACATGCGCTCTGAAGGGGAGCTTGGAACGCTTGGCATGCCAGACGAACCACCCTCAGCTCCCTTACATTGATGTGCAGCGATCGTTCTGCATGGGCCCATAGGAGTTGGGTTCTGATATTGCCCAGGTGCGCTCCCCAACCAAGCACCGAGGCGTCCTTGACTAGCGATAGGGTAGGTTGGGGTTTGGCAAAGGGTACTCTTGCTGCAGCAACCAGTGGCGAGACTTGAGAATGCGAGTGGGGAGGGTAACTATCTGGTCCAGTGGGTCCCTGCCCAACCTGTGTACCCTCACCAAACACGCCTGGAGGGGGCAAAGGCGTAACCTGGTGTGCTGGGCCACGTATGTGCAGGCGGCCATATGCCCCAACAGTTTCATGCAATTTCTGGCCGTGGTTGTGGGGAATCAGCGAAGGTTTTTGATAATGTCCGTGAGGTGCTTGGAAGCGCAGCTCGGGCAGGAACGTCCTGGCCTGTGTGGAGTCCATGAGAGCTCCTATGAATTCTACTCTCCGCGTCGGGGCTAGGGTGGATTTGGGCACATTCAAAATGAGTCTCAACCTGTGGAAGGTGGCCCGAGCCAGTGACACATGCTCTGCAGCCTGTGCTTGCGACTCGGCCTTGATGAGCCAGTTGTCCAGGTACGGAAATACTTGCACCTGATGTTTGTGGAGGAAGGCTGCAACAACCGCCACATGCTTTGTGAATAGCCAGGGGCCACCAAGAGCCCAAACGAGAGCACCCTGAACTGGTAGTGCTGGCCGCTGACCACAAAATGAAGAAAACGTCTGTGGGCCGGATAATGGAGATATGAAAGTACTAATCTTTCAAGTCTAGGATGGCATGCCAGTCCCCTGGATCCAGGGAAGGAATGATGGAGACCAGAGAGACCATGTGAAACTTCACTTTCCTCATGAGTGTGTTGAGGTCTCGCAGATCCAGGATAGGCCAGAGCCCACCCTTGGCCTTGAGGATGAGGAAATAGCGGGAGTAGAACCCCTTGCCCCTGAACTCCTGAGGAACCTCCTCCATTGCCCATAGAGCGAGAAGCGATTGCACCTCCTGCAAGCAGAGTTGTTTGTGAGAAGGGTCCCTGAAGAGGAACGGGGAAAGGGGGTGGGAGAGCAGGAGGGAACAGAATTGCATAGAATATCCCATCCGTACCATTCTCAGGACCCAGTGACCTGACGTGATCTTGGACCAAGCACGGAAGAAGCGGGAGAATGGATTCACAAAGGGGGAGTAAGGATCCATGTTTGATACTGATGCTCCGTCCTCGGGCACATCTTCAAAAGTTTGGCTTCGGGCCTGGGGGCTGTTTAGCCAAACTCCGGCCTTGGCCTGAGGAGGAGTGTGGCAGATTCCTCCTGTTATTCCTGCCCCGTCTCCTGGACGAGTCTTGCCTCAGAGGCCCAGAGTAGAAATGAGATGGGGGCTGAGGCTTAAATGGCTTTCTTTGGGGTGCAGGGTGTGGATCCCCAAAGGCTTTAAAGTCACCTTTGAGTCCTTAAGGTTGTGCTGGCGAGAATCCGTATTTTGGGGAAACAGGCCTGAACGGTCAAAGAGGAGGTCCTGGATCGTGTTCTGGACTTCAGGTGGTATCCACCATCAGGTGCAACTCCTCCGTGACCTCCTCTGCCTGGAGATTCAGGTTTAGGTACACCCTCCTAAGAATGTCCTGGTGTCCCCTGGTGTCCATCACCAAAGGGTGATGGTGGTGCCCGCCACGGCCTCGTCCAGTGAGGAGGAGAAGGAGGCCCGCGGGAATGGGTCTTCTTGCCCTACTGGCTCTCTGGAGGCTGGGTCGGGTGCCTCTGTCCCCGCCTTCCCCATGACTGGATGTGGCTGCAGTACAACTAGTGGGAATAAGGTCCCGCCTGAGCATGATGGCCCAGAGTCCTTGTCTGATGCGGGGCTCTCAGTAGCCCTGGGTGTGTGACGAGTCACCGACGTTTCTGCGGGAGGTGTAGGGGGGTGGTCACCCCACTCCTGCCTGAAGGGGATAAAGCAGCCCTAGAGAAGGCTGCATCGGAGAAAGCTGGGCTGATTGGGAAAGCAGCCACAGCTGTGGTGAGCTTAATCAGGGCCCAGCTGGCCCTTGTAAGAGGGCTGGGGCCAGAAGCAGAAGAGAGACACACTCTATCTAGGGTGAAGCAGCACTGGGCAGTAGCGGATTTACCATGGAGACACTGGCTCCACGGAGCCGGGCCCACATTCCAGGGGGGCCCTGACCAGGCCCACTCTTCTCCGCCCCCAGCTCTCACCTCCTATGGTGTGCAGGGTGCTGTGTAGTTGTGGTGGGATGTCAGCGGGAGGCGTCTCTAGGCAGGGGGTGCTTGGCATAGGGATCTGTGGGAGAAGTCTCTGGGTGAGGGGACACTGGTATAAGAGCAGGACACTGAGCGGGGGGCAGTGTGGAAGGGGTACGCTGGCAGTGCAGGGCTGGGTGGGCCAGTGTGCGTCTAGCAGTTTGGGGTTGGTAAATAGTGCTCTTGCGCTGGGCTAAGTGGGGCCACTCCTGCTGAGCTGCGTCTCATTGCCCCCAACCGGCCCCTCGCTCTGTGGACCGCCCCAATCACATTCCCTATTTCCCCAATGGGGGCCCACAATGATTTTTGGCACCGGGTCCACAAAAGTTAATCCGGCCCTGGCACTGGGGAAGGGCAGAGGGAGCTGGGAAGCTCCATCCTAGCAAAGTCCCAGGCTGCAGGCCAAGCTAAGGGCCCACAAAAAGGTACTGGGGCTGCAGAGGGGCAGCCCAGATAAAGGCAGAGGCAGCAGGTCTAACCGCCCTTGCCGATGATGAGTGGTTTACAGACTGCAGTCTGCCCCAGAGAGCAGGGGCTAGATGATGACTGGCAGTAGCCACTGAGTCAAGGTGGGGATAGGGGTTTGGGGTTCCCCTGGAAGGGGAGACCCAGAGTGAGGGGGCACTGCGGTGGGCAGAACCCCTGGGCAAAGGGCACTGGGGTCTGGGAGGGACACGGGGAGCAGCAGCAGGTGAGACCTTAGCCAGCAGAGGGCGCTCCGGAGCTGGAAAAGAGCTAATTCCCTGGACAACCAGCAGGAGACGCCGCACCGCTGAGACGTCACCCCACCACAGGGAGGGAACGGGGTGCAGATGCCATCAATGTGGCCCTGGAGCCCTGACCCTGAGTCTGATGTTAGGTCAAAGGAGTGCAAAAGGGCCATTGTACTGGGCCCTGACATTGGAGGGGCCAGGAGACTGCCAGTGCCGATGAGTCCACAGCTCTGCGGTTCCGGGACCGGTGCCGGGAGCGGGAGCAGTACTGGCTGCTTCGAGAGACAGAAGACTCAGCATCTGACTCAGACGAGTACTCTGTGCCTGATCACAGGAGGGCGGAGCCCGACAGTGCCGGGTAGAGGTACCGGGGTGATGGTGAGCGGTGCCGTAACATCATTGGCTTGCTGTAATGAAGAACCAGGGCGGAGCCGCCACCATTGCCACAAAGGGTGCCAGACCCATATGCGGCGCTCCCATAGATGCTGCAGCCGGTGCCATCGTCGGCGCCACTTATGGTACCTGAGCTTGCAGTGCCGGAGCTCACACCTGCGAGGCTGGGGACTGTGCCATCATGGCAGTAAGGTCCCGCGCTACCT